GGGTTGGCTTGGTCCGAGGACACGGTTTTAGGCATGGCTGTCTTACTTCTAATGCGGCTGCCTACAGCAGATGTCTTTTGAACAACACCAAACTCTGGTTTTAAAACTACTTTGACGGCATTGAGTAATGCACAGGTGGTCACGGTCAACCATTGGACTATCGGATTTTGAAGGTTTTAGCGCCGACCTTTTCCAACCCGTCCTTTCTCGGATGAAGGCAGCAATACTGCTCCAATGAATACGGAAATGCTGGTCGCCTGAAGTAAACATCTTACTTCACATTACTATTCCAGAGCGCCTTCTGATACGGTTACTCTCAATATGGGGACTCGCTGTTCCTCAAGCCGCTCCCTGTTGGTCTTCCTGGCATGTTTAGACCTTTAAAATCTGAGCTCCAGCCAGTATAGCCTGTCTCGATCTGTAGCTATCGTGGTGGCTGGGCCTCAATGCTGTAATGATCCTCCGGGTTAGACTGGCCGGAACTCAGTTTCTAAAGGTCCAGCTATGCCAGGAAGGGCAACAAAGCACAACTACCAATTATCCAACCATTACTTTGTACCTAAGCTTTTATCTCAACCTCTTTTGGAAGGCATGACATCCGGGCCAGGGTGTTGCGTTGCAACTACGGGATAATAATAATAATAATAATAATAATAATAATAATAATAATAACCCGCCCGGGCTTCCGCTCGGTATGATGGATCAAAATAAACCATTGCTTAACTCAAGGAACCTGTTCAATAGTGCGGCTTTTAACGTTCGTTCTTTGTGTCGAATTGGGCAACAGAAACGTCTTGCATGTACCTTGTTCTCTCGATCGGTGTGTATTGTGTCCCCAAAACACGTGCACAAAACCCAGTTTGGTCATACGTCTCTAGTTGCTCGGAAAGAGCCCAGAGCTTTCACTTTTTGCCCTTCGGGTGTTTGGTGATCTTGATGCTCGTGGTGTCTACGTTTTAGGGACTGTGCTTAGCTTCAGAGCCTATTCACCTTACTGAACTATATTCCAGTGAATAGCCTCAACCAAGGCCCATGTATCCCAGCTTGACAAAGGGTGCGTGTTGTGTTAGCAAATGCTTCTGCGGACGGCAGCTCTGAAGCAGAGAAATGCAGCTGCTGGGATTTGTCACGGTTGCTTTGGTCAGCAAGAAGTACATATATCAGAATTCTGACAGGCGATATGAATGCGCAAGTTGTTCAACTTGGTCCTGAAGAAGCTCATCTTGGTGGGCGATTCGGGGTTGAGGCTTACCGCACTGATAATGGGGATAGACTTCTTCAGTTATGCTCTGAACATCGTTTGTTCCTGGCTGGCACAAACCGCCTTTGATACTGTTTGCCAAAGGTTGTTCAAGCACCACAACGAACTTTGGATCTCGTTACGGTCAGTGGCTCTGACTTAGGCCAGGAAAACTTACCAGAAATAAGCGGCTACGATGGTGCATGAAGGTCTCTACGGATTGACAGAGAGCACTAGTGGATCGCAAAATTTCGAGAAATGAAGAGAGCTTTTGCAAAGGGAATAGTTGCACCTTATCACATCTCGATTGTTTCTATCTGGGCTTCAGCTATCTGACAATGTCTCAGCCCTCGTGCCTAGGATAAACTGGCAGCCATGCACCAAAAGGGTGCTACGGCCGAACAATCTTTTGTGCTCCAACGCTCGTTAGCTTGTAGAATTTTTTGGAGAGTCTTTCTCCGAGTTCATCAAAAGTGGTGTCTATCAGGACTACCCTTTGTCACTTCCCTTTCAACTCCGCATTCGGATTGGTCCCCGAATGAACGTTTGCCGCAGAATGAAGAGGCCTTGATCTGGAGATGCGGCATGAAAAACATGACAAAGGGCTTTGACGAAGCTGCCGCATGTCCTCTGCAAGGTTGGAGTGCCAAGAAGCCACAAGATCAGTGGTAAGGGGTACTACTCACATGACGAGGTCGCACAAGCGATGGCCATCCGTTTTGCTTCCAAAATTTTTCCTGTACCTCCAAAACATGCAAGAAAGAAACTATGGTCGCTCGCCTTAAAGTAGAGTAGAGTGTACGCAACTTCGCATTTTCCTCTCCGGGTGTTCAGAGGTTGGGGGTGCCACCGGAAAGAACTGTGCGATGAGTTACGTGATTCGGCCCTGCTGCCGGGGGAAGGTAACTTAGCGTAAATATTAGTAAAAAAGACGACGCAAAAGCGCTGTCTAGAAAAATGTGTCGAACACTTTAACACGTTTCCCCCGACGCTGCTCCCGTATAATGCGCACAGTTGCCCTGGATGTGAATCATGATATTAGGAAAAATTATTTACTTGGATAAGTGTACCTGTTTCGTTTGACCAGCTAAAGGCAATGTTGCCATCCGAGTAAGGGAGATCAGAGCTAATTTCACCAGCCTGCAGCATATACAGCGTAGGCACGACACCAGCTCACCCATCAAGACTGAGTGTACAGTGTGCCTCTTGTTATCTGGGCTGCAGGCCTGGCAACTGCTAACTGAATATGACAGAAGCCACAGTTGGTTGGTCAATTTAGCCTTTGTAGCATTGCCCGAGTCTGGTGGATGAGTTATGCCGAGGTAAATCTGTTGGTTTTTCGCGAAGCTGCTTCACACCATAGATAAGCTGTTGTGCTGGTTTGGTCGCCTGTCTGGTATGGCAGAAAATTAACTTCCGCGCAGAGCCTGCAATGATGCACAAGTATAGGTATGGTGGCCACTGCTAGGAAACAACTGCTTTGGTAATGCCTCCTATCTAGATAAGAAATCAGGACGCGTCAGTGATCAGGGGAAATGACGAGTATGATCCAGCCACGCTTTTGCTGGAGTCCCTGAATTAATCAGCTCCTTTTCCCAATCTCCCTTCTAATAGGAAGTCCCAGCTTTATCCCTGAATTAACCGTCTGACGGTGCCGACCGCTTTTTTCAATACAACCATCTGCTTACGTTCCCCGTATCGATTAAAAACGGGAGCAGCTGGGATCATTGTTCAACCTGCACGCAAGTTACACACAGGGACGATGTAAACAATGATTAGGTATTCAACAGAGATTTCCTCCTGTCAGTGAAGCCAGTCTATACTTAAAGGCTGGGAGGCACTGCATCTGTTTCATCCTTATTGACAGTCATCACCAGTGCCAATCTCACGAAGCTAAGAGTTTTGAACCCGCGATTAAATAATTGGATACTTCGCTCAGTACTGCCTGTGCGACGAGCATCGATACCATATTGACCCCACGTATTTGTTTCTTCAAAAATTAGCCGGCCGACTCCTGCATCTGTTTTTTTTCCGGCCGAACGAGATGCAACAGATTCTGATACAAAGTATCGTTCTCAGCTTCGAGATCATCTGACTGTCTGAACGTGTGTTGATGTAGTCTGTATTGTTTCGGGGTTGAGTGCAACGGAATCACCGGATACCTAAAGAGATCTGGGTTCATTTTAATCTGATTTGAGTCTTGTATGCATGTCTCAGAGACAGCGTGCGTCAGGGCTGCAGTATGAAACAGCCGTTTGTTTTACCAGTATAACGGTATAATCGTTACTTTGCTGGAAAACAAGCTCGCAGATATTTGAAGGGTTAGTAGGATGCGTATGTGTGCCAGAGTGATGGTCGGCGAAAAAAGATCTGCACAGGATAGTGACACTTTCAGGTTACGAAGGTTTAGAGAAGTTTGTTTGAAATATCTTCAACTCCTTCCTTATAAAGGCGGTGAGAAGATACGCGGTTGGAGTTCCTTTCAGGAATGTCAGCTGTACCCTTTGATCCAACAATTCGTGCAACATGGCAGATATTTTTGAACTTCCTTGACCAACCTCCTGAGCCAATGACACTTGGTTCTAGGGACTGAAATAACCAGGGAGTTTGTGGTGTAGTTACAGATGCGTGACTCCGGATATCGAAGCACGCAACAGATGCTTTTGGAGTCATCTTGTTATGATTTATTTACATATCGACCGTATGAGTTGTTCGCGTCCACAATTGACCATTTAGCGATCGGTGTGTGGTTTCTGGGGTGGGCCCTTTCTCACCGGCAGAATGCATCGCCATTCCCATAGATATGGGAATGCTGATCGTCTGGAGGGACTATCCCAGTTTTTCACACTCCTATTGCAAGGGACAGTGCGGCGCCCAGTGTGGGACTTCTTCCTGATGAAGACCATAGAGACTAGAATGTTCAGACGACATCTCACAACTTAGTTCAGATTTCATTCAAATAAGCTAAGTAATTCAAGTGCGATTTCGCATGTTCTTTGTTCCTTGAAAGTCGATCATTGTGTTAGAACCTCCAGAGATAGTGGACGAATCTGCATATCCAGGTAGTTGCGTCATGTTGGATTGTTGATAAAGTGAATGCTACAACCACCGAATTTCTGTCTACTTTTCCCTAACCTAGTCGCATCTCTGTTTGACGCGACAAGTTTGCCGATGAAAGTTAGGGTCCACACTTTGGTAAGAGATCCACTGCTGCGTTACGGTTATGTCATCTGGACCCTGCGTTGAAGACAAGAAAATGGTTTGTGTTCGACGATAAGCTTCCTCCGAAGCGCTGCGCCTGTTGATTCAGTACTGAAGTGGGACTAATGGTTTCTGACGACAAATCAACTGCTTTTTGACGTTACTGTTCGGTTGCCTACCAATGGTCTCATCCCTGTTGGGGCTTACTAGGTAACCGTAGTCCCCGAGATTCCATTAAGTTGGTTTCTCACTTGGACGCACAATTGTAAGTAGGTGGGCTTACACATTCGCTTAAAGATTAGGTAATACTGACATCAACTCAATGGGATCTCAGCGAAATTCCAAATGTATGGTGTTCTTCAGCTGCACAAAACCTACCTCACTTTCAGTTGAGTTCTTATTCGAAGTAGTTCTCTTGATACTACGCTGCTTATGAGGGAAATGGATGCTTTCTGAAGTGCATTGCTATGACAAGATGCACAAACATCGCAAGAATCATCCATTTTGTCTCGTCCGTCAGCTGTTGCGTCAATCCTTTTTCTCTTCTTTTTCTAGCGTAATGGCTCAAAAAGCACAACAAGCAGTTACTGAGAAGTTGGCGGCGGCCAAACTTATGAAGGCGGCGCAAGTCCTTGAGGAGACATTGGATCAAGAAATCAATCGGTTGGACCACCTAGATGAAGACGGTAAGCAATACGACAAGCAGTTACTGAGAAGTTGGCGGCGGCCAAACTTATGAAGGCGGCGCAAGTCCTTGAGGAGACATTGGATCAAGAAATCAATCGGTTGGACCACCTAGATGAAGACGGTTTGGAAGCAATACGGCGAAATAGACTGAAACAAATGAAAAATGAATCCAAACAACGTTCAGAGTGGATTGCTGCAGGCCATGGTGTTTACTCTGAACTGGCAAATGAACAAGATTTCTTTGCAGCTTGTAAAAAATCCACGTTTGGTGTTGTCTGCCACTTCTATCGTGACTCAACCTTTCGTTGTAAAATTATCGACAAACATCTTTCCGTACTGGCTCCGAAACATATTGAGTGTAGATGATCAAACTNCAAACTGAATGCCGAGAAATCTCCGTTCCTTACACAGCGTCTTGGGATTATCGTAATTCCGACACTCATTCTGGTGAAGAACGAACAGGTTTGCGATCGAATCATCGGTTTCGACGATCTTGGTGGCCACGATGAGTTTTCCACGGCAATGCTTGAATGGCGTCTCGCCGTTGGACGGGTGATTCAGTACAGCGGGGACATCACAATGCCTCCAGATAGTGCCAAACCCGGATCCATCACCTTTAAGGGCTTTGATGCAAAGAAACGTGAGACGAAAACTATTCGTGGTAAATTTGTTGAAGATGATGATGAGGACAGTGACTGACTTCATAAGGTAGACTGGTGTTAGCTACGGTTTTCATCTGTCTTTCAGCCAAAACTAACGTCGCTCTGGTATTCCGAGGTACTTCATTTTCACTGTAAGGTTTGCTTTTTTTCTCACTTCCATCTGGATGATTTTTACCAGGTCCCTGCCTTGTAAATACCTAATGTACTCCATTCACCGAGGATCAGGAGTGTATTCTTGTGCACCAGTATGTGGCAAATGATACTTCCGTCTGTCCTAACACTGTGTACTACTGTGTTAGTGGTGTGTCGTTATTCTTTGAGTTATGTGCAGTAGAGGCACTATCTGTGTGTATTTTTATTCTTAACGAAGTATAAGTCTTTCACCTTCGATCTTTTTCTAAGTTTTTTATGACGTTATGGGGTCCAGGAATTTTCGAGGCTCTGTGCACTATCCCCTATCGCATTCTGGAGAGAACATTGCAGAACAACCTTTTTTTATTTGGATACACAGTAGGTTGTCTGGCTGGTTCATTGGTCTAGTTTTGTGGTGACTGCATGCTGAAATAAACGCTTCACAGAGTTTTCCGTCATGTGATGAAATAAGCTGCTTAGTAATTTCCCGCAGGTGACCTGCGTGTGCTTGCTGTTTGTCACTCTCGCTCCATAGATAGGTTGGTTTTGTCCGGATGGATGGCATCAGTGCTACCACAGTGGTTGATTATTAAAGGTTTTAGGTCGACATTGATGACGCAGGTGATTTTAGTGATGTGAGTTGAGGATAGAACCGGACTGTCCTATGTAGCTATGAGCATCTTGCCGAAAAGGCTCGATTTACGAGCTGCGATGTTGTTCAGTTTGTCTAAAGGTACCCTGATTTCATTCGTTTTGTTTTCGTGAACTAAGTAAAGGAAAAGCAAGGACTCACAGAAGTGGCCTACTCACACAATTACCAAGTGGAAATTCACTGAATGTATTCGGCGACAGCGCTATTTTCAATTTTTTTTGTTGATATCCCTATGCTCTGATTGTGTTGATTTATGCAGGAATTTTACTGACTTCCGTTTGCTATAACTCCAACTGGTCATCCGTTGGATCTTCATCACTCTCAGCTGTTGAGAACATCATCACAGTGCTAGTGATATCAGTTTCCAACACCTGTGCAGCTGGGCCGGACAATCAAAATGGTACTTCGCATCAGATCTTCTTAGGGGTATGGAGCAGCCAGAACGTCCGAGCTGAAACGAGTGGAATGTTCTTCAGTGGAAACTACATACGGTCAAGCATAGCCGAAGTCTCGCCAACTGCGCGATCGATGGTTATGTATGCGATACGTCCATGTGCGCATTCGTACGAAAACTAAACGTGTGGATTGATGCAGCAGCTAACTTCCTGGGGTTCGAAGGTGTGACAGAGACAGTAAATGTAAAGTGGTTAGTTCGTTATACGGTACTGTCTCGACTAAAACCGCTTATTGGCAGAGGCCGAACAATCACAATTTGAAATCTTATGTGATAACAGAGCTTATCGTAAAGCAATAAGTGGTGTCCTTAGTTCTAGAGTATGAATGTACCTTAATTCAGTATTTTTTGTGCGCATATTGGTTGGTGCGCACTGATCACTATAGTCTTGGGAAGTACAGTCCGGTCGTACCACCATTTCGAGAGTTTCGTTGGCATCACCCTTATGACCTTGTCAGCAGCCAGCGTTTATGAAACTGGACCGATTCAGCACAATCTACGCACACGGTTAACCGGATACAAAAGTATTCGGTTACTGGAATAATACACCTTTTCGGATGTTTCACATCCGAATTTAGACGACATCTGTAACAAAAAAATAGAACCCGACTACCTTCAAGCTCTGTTGATTGGTACGAACTGTCCTAAACAACTGAAATATCACAATCAAATCACAAATCAATCGCAATAAAATAAAAAAAACATCACAATCATCACCAGAGGCAGCAACACCTTCACTGCCGCACAACAATAAATTTCGTCTATTTTTGAAGGCTTCGGGTGAAAATAAAAGACAAGTAGTGGGTGAGGGAAGGTACCTAGTGCAGGCATGTGTCAAGCATTCCGAGGTGATTACAGCTCCAAGCGCTCAAACAATCTGGAAAGAAACTGGCAGCATGAACGCCACTGACACTGATCAGCTGCCATTTCTTGCAATGTCTTTAGGAAGGCGCGGGCGGGGTTATGGGGATCCCATCCTGGAAGGCGTACCAACAACACCCAAACTCTTGTTAATCTCTCACATCCTTCTGCCAAGTCATACGTTGTCCACCTCGTGGTTTCCGCCATTCTAAAGGAAGCACAGAGAACAACACCTGTCTCGGTAGATGGTGTTTTGGCGTGAGCAGCACATAACCGAGCCATCACAGTTGATGATACTGGATATTTTCCGCGATCGAAATAATTGCTGCATAACCAAATACCCGTTTTCTAATTACCCCATTAAGAATTTGTTGACGCCATCTGACACCAGCAACGCTTCTGAGTCATGGGTGACCATCTGTCCTCAGGGACCATGTTTCGCAACCATACAACAATACCTATCTTGCTGTAGCCTGGCATACGCGAACCTTGAGGCCCAGTGGTACGCCGTTTAGACACCACAAGTGACGCAAATTAGAGAACGTGATTCTAGCCTTTGAGAACTCCATCAGAACCAGTACATTTACTTAGGTATGTAAAATTCTCCACAATCTCCAGCGATTCCCCTTGAATTGTAGGGCATATGGTGAGAGATTGTACGCTACGAAGCATGACTTCGCACTTCGGAGGGTCTGGCGCATGCCGAAAGGTAGTATGACGGTGGTCAGTTTTTTTTAACAGAGCTTTTGCTGAGCCTTCGTCTTCGAAGACGAGAGCGATGTAGTTTGTTTACCCCAGATCGACAAGGTTTTCACCAGCGACGATTTGTACACCGGAGTTTTGAAGGCCTTTCAGCGTTTTCCTCGTTTCATCGACGACGTATTTGAACAAGAATGGAGTGAGTGACATCCTTGCCGGACACCACTTATAGGGAAGCTTCAGAAAAGCTCACCATGCCCCCTAACAGGCCTAGAAGTATGTGAATATAGGGACCGGATTAGGTTCACAAACTTCTGGGTCATAATCTATTCAGGAAGTTTGGTTAACAGGACTGACTGATCGACAGAATCGAACGTACCCATGAAGTCAAGGAAAACGAAGATTCTGAATTGTCTGTATATGTGACGTTTCTTTAACACCTGGCGGAGTGTGAAGATGTGGTTGAAGCAGCGTCTGCCCGGTCGAAATCCCACTTGATGCTCATGGGTCAAGAATTCGCGTGCCGCCGTAAGACGCCAAGGAGTCAGTGACGCCAGGAGGCTTGTTGCAGAAGGCAAGCTGACACCTCTGTGGTTACGACGTTCACTACGGGTACCCTTTTTGAAAACGGGCAATAATATCGACTCAACTCAGTTGTTTGGAACTGTTTTCTCTCTCAAGTGGACTGGACAAGCGCTGAAGATTTAATCGCCATACTTTAAAAGAGCAGTTAGAAGGTCATCAGGGCCAGGAGCACGACGTCGCTTGAGGCTGAGGAGGGTGCCATGTTCATAGTCCACCTTTTTGTTGAAGGCCTGCATCCCGGATTGGAGTTAAAAGGTCACCAATTGAATTGTTCGAATTATTGTGTCCAGTGATCCAAACGTTCTGTTTAACTGGATATCGGCGAACCATTCTAGTCCCCGATAGTTTCGCTGGCAAGAGGGTTCCGAGGATGAGTCGAATGAATCACGTGGGTCAGCTTGCGGACGTCTCCATCTTCAGTTTCTTTGATTCACCGAGCTGCGTGTTCCAAACGGGCAGCTGGTTAAGTTGTGGTTACAACCAGGAATATGTCACTGGGCCTCCAGCAAAGCCATGGTCCTATCCGAGATCCAATTTTTAAAATGAGGTTGGTTGAGTAGTACCGCAAACGGAAGTTCCGGCTCTGAGTAACAATATGGATATCTGTTCCCAGTGGCCGTTTATATCCGAAATAAGATGGTCCGACAGGTGCTCGACGGGCCAGTTCTGAAAGTCAGTTTGATTTCTGGGTTCGTTACCTTCTCATTGGCTATGTTAGGTGAGCGTTTTGTGCTGTCCTGAATAACGCAGTGAAAAGCAATAGCATACAAATTTGTGGCTAAAGTCCACGCTGGTACTCCAGAAGGAGCGGCAGGCAGTGATCGACCCTCCTCACCAGTAACTGACGGCGATATGGTCTATTTGGACTGGCCTGTTATGGGCACCACCTTGTCAAGAGGTTTCCGCTATTTCGGAAGTTGGTAGCCGCAAAAGAGTTGGCTGTGATCGTACACATCTGAAGTATGCGATTTCCGTTGTCCGTGAGTCTCATATCCCAAAATGACCACCCAATTGATCCTCGGCGGTACTTAATCTACCTACGTGGGCGTTCAAGTCATCAACATCCACAACAATGTTTGAGTTTGTAGCCCGTTTTAAAAGAGCACCTAGAGCGTTAATGTAACAGTATCTGACAGATTCCAAGCAACAGTCCGTTGGGGCGTCATCAGACAATAAACATAGTGCTGTGAACCTAAGATTCTCGAGATTCTTCCGCAGACAAACGAACCGCGCAGAGGCGTTTATCAACGAGTAGAGAAGTTCTCGGTCGGTCGCTCAATGCAATATCCACGCCGACGTATCTTGCTGTAGCGGCCTCTGTCTCATCAGAAATGCGCAGCCAGAACCTGGAAGAGAGCGAGGGAGCAGTCAGTTTGATTACAGCACTTACGTCCTGTATCCTTGTTTCCGACAGACAGCGTACGTGAATATAGCTGGAATCCGGCGTACGAGCAAGATCCGTTTGTCGTCCTGCTTGTTTCAGCGTCCGAACATTAGAGGCAGTTAAGTAGACAGGCTTTCGGGATTTGAAAGCAGATCTGGAGGTGTTTAGGGTTGCCACTGAATTGGAACAGAGCAGATGGAAGGTCGCCGGGACCAGCAGTACGATGAGTAGAGAAATGCAGTCGACACTTCTGAAAGCAGATCTGGAGG